AGCCCGACAACAACGTCATCCTAGATTCTGACACAACTAAGGTTTGTGCATCTACAGCAGTGCCGGTATACACCTTCCTTTGCCCAAGAGCGTTTGTGGCGAAGGGAGTTGTATACCGGCAGCTGTAGATGCGCAAACCGTAAGCTGTGTGTCAGAACCGAGGACCATGTTGCTGGGCCTGATGTCCCGGTGAACCAGGCCGTTCGAGGGCATGAAGGCGACAGCATCGACCGCCTACGCGACATACCTGCACAAGGTTTCCCCAGTTTGCAGGCAGGTGCAGTGTCATGGAAAACACCCCGCGAATATCTGCTCATCTTCGCCTGGTTGTGGAGGAGTGCGGGACTTGTGCAAAAAGGGAGACGCGGGTCGTGCATCTCGGGAAGGGCGTAGGGTGGGAGGTATTTGTTGCCATGGTTATCGTAGTGACTTGATTTTTCTTGGACCCTTGTAACCCCACACAACCGGAATGGAGGACGGCGGGCTCACCCGTCAAGCAGACAGCCAAAAGCTGCACACCATGTCAGGGGCGCAAACACACTGGCTGCCACGGGGTGACGCAACAATGGACGAGCCATGCAGTTGAACCTCCACCACAACCGCTATTGAGGATGAAAGTGGTCATTTGTTAATTTCCTACTTGGTGCTCGTATTCTGCTCTGCCCGAGTGTCTTCCTTGACCATTTATCACCTTTTTGCCTCCGCTGTCGGCACGCACGGCATGGGCGGACAGTACGGCCGAACCCTGAAAATGTTTTGTCTCCTCGGGTCTACAGGGAAACCATAAGCCACGGTGGAGGTGGTTCTGACACAGCTGCAAGGTGTGTGCATCTACAGCAGTACCGGTATACGCCTTCCTTCGTCCAAGAGCGGTTGAGACTTGCGCTGTGAACGGAGGGGTGCATGTGATTGTTGCCCGCACTAATTCCCGCACAAAATTCAAGAACTTCGCCAAGGTGTGATTGTTGTCGAACGTCACCTGGCGCAGGCAGGGATCCGAGTCCGCAACTTGTTGGTTTCGGGACACCGACCTGCAACGCGCCATGGTCAACATTGTACATACCTCGGCCGTGCTCTCGAAGTAAGTGCGGGAAACAACCACACACACACGTACACGCCACCCTCCATAACTATGGCACCGAATACCTCCCACCTTACCCTTCCCTAGATGCACGATCAGCTTCTTCCTTTTTTCATAAATCCCGCACTCCTCCATAACCAGACAAAGAGAGAAGCAGATAATCGCGGGATGTTATCCCTAACACTGCACCTGACTGCAAACTGGCGAAACCTTCTTGAGGTATGCCGCGCAGACGGTCGATGCCGTTGAGTTCATGCACTCGAAGGACCTCGGCCACGGGGACATCAAGCTCCACAACGTCATCCTAGATTCTGACACAACTAAGGTTTGTGCATCTACAGCAGTGCCGGTATACACCTTCCTTTGCCCAAGAGCGTTTGTGGCGAAGGGAGTTGTATACCGGCAGCTGTAGATGCGCAAACCGTAAGCTGTGTGTCAGAACCGAGGACCATGTTGCTGGGCCTGATGTCCCGGTGAACCAGGCCGTTCGAGGGCATGAAGGCGACAGCATCGACCGCCTACGCGACATACCTGCACAAGGTTTCCCCAGTTTGCAGGCAGGTGCAGTGTCATGGAAAACACCCCGCGAACATCTGCTCATCTTCGCCTGGTTGTGGAGGAGTGCGGGACTTGTGCAAAAAGGGAGATGCGGGTCGTGCATCTCGGGAAGGGCGTAGGGTGGGAGGTATTTGTTGCCAAGGTTATCGTAGTGACTTGATTTTTCATGGACCCTTGTAACCACACACAACCGGAATGGAGGACGGCGGGCTCACCCGTCAAGCAGACAGCCAAATGCCGCACATCATGTCAGGGGCGCAAACACACTGGCTGCCGCGGGGTGACGCAACAATGGACGAGCCATGCAGTTGAACCTCTAGCACAACTGCTATTGAGGATGAAATCGGGCATTTGTTAATCTCCTACATTGGTGCTCTGATTTTTCTCTGCCCCGAGCATCTTTCTTGACCATCCACCACCTCTCTGCCTACCCTGTCGGCACCCACGGCGTGGGCGGACAGCAGTACGACCGAACCCTGAAAACGTTTTATCTCCTCCGGTCTGCAGGGAAACCATAAGCCACGGTGGAGTCGGTTCTGACACAGCTGCAAGGTGTGTGCATCTACAGCAGTACCGGTATACGTCTTCCTTCGCCCAAGAGCGTTCGAGACTTGCGCTGTGAACGGAGGGGTGTATGTGATTGCTGCCCGCACTAATTCCCGCACAGAATTCAAGAACTTCGCCAAGGTGTGATTGTTGTCGAACGTCACCTGGCGCAGGCAGGGATCCGAATCCGCAACATGTTGGTTTCGGGACACCGACCTGCAACGGGCCATGGTCGACAACGCACATACCTCGGCCGTGCTCTCGAAGCGAGTGCGGGAAACAACCACACACACACACGTACACGCCACCCTCCATAACTATGGCACCGAATACCTCCCACCTTACCCTTCCCTAGATGCACGACCAGCTTCTTCCTTTTTTCATAAATCCCGCACTCCTCCATAACCAGACAAAGAGAGAAGCAGATAATCGCGGGATGTTATCCCTAACACTGCACCTGACTGCAAACTGGCGAAACCTTCTTGAGGTATGCCGCGCAGACGGTCGATGCCGTTGAGTTCATGCACTCGAAGGACCTCGACCACGGGGACATCAAGCTCCACAACGTCATCCTAGATTCTGACACAACTAAGGTTTGTGCATCTACAGCAGTGCCGGTATACACCTTCCTTTGCCCAAGAGCGTTTGTGGCGAAGGGAGTTGTATACCGGCAGCTGTAGATGCGCAAACCGTAAGCTGTGTGTCAGAACCGAGGACCATGTTGCTGGGCCTGATGTCCCGGTGAACCAGGCCGTTCGAGGGCATGAAGGCGACAGCATCGACCGCCTACGCGACATACCTGCACAAGGTTTCCCCAGTTTGCAGGCAGGTGCAGTGTCATGGAAAACACCCCGCGAACATCTGCTCATCTTCGCCTGGTTGTGGAGGAGTGCGGGACTTGTGCAAAAAGGGAGACGCGGGTCGTGCATCTCGGGAAGGGCGTAGGGTGGGAGGTATTTGTTGCCACATTTATCGTAGTGACTTGATTTTTCATGGACCCTTGTTACCACACACAACCGGAATGGAGGACGGTGGGCTCACCCGTCAAGCAGACAGCCAAATGCTGCACACCATGTCAAGGGCGTAAACACACTGGCTGCCGAGGGGTGAAGCAGCAATGGACGAGCCATGCGGTTGAACCTCCACCACAACCGCTATTGAGGATGAAAGTGGTCATTTGTTAATTTCCTACTTGGTGCTCGTATTCTGCTCTGCCTCGAGTGTCGTCTTCCTTGACCATTTATCACCTTTTTGCCTCCTCTGTCGGCACGCACGGCATGGGCGGACAGTACGGCCGAACCCTAAAGACTTTTATCTCCCCCGGTCGGCAGGGAAATCAGAAGGCATGGCGGAGTTGATCCTGACACAGCTGAGGTTTGTGCACCTACAGCAGCACCGGTATACACTTTCCTTCGCCCGAGAGCGTTTCAGACGTGGCAGGCACGCTGTGAACGGAGGGGGTGGCGTGTGTCTGTTGTCCTCACTTACCTCAGGAGGTCGGCCGGGGCGTGCTCGTTGCTAAACATTGCCCGTTGAAGGTCGGATTGCCCGAGCTCCATTGCGATAGCCAAGGAGTCGTCCTTGTCCAAAATGGCCTCCACCTCCACGACGCCCTCGTGAGGTCCGAGCCTGCAACGACGGACCGCGAACGATATCACAAAAGGCAAGCGCACCAATCATTGATGGGTCTAAACAGTAGAGCACGGGCGGTGAACGGCGTTGCTGACAGGTCGAGGGCGGGGGGGGGGCAAGAAGAACAAGAGCTTCATATAACATGCGACGTTGCGCGTTTATGCCGTGCAACAACTAACCCACGAGGCGAGGGGCCTCGTGTACGAAACTTGCCCCCTTATCCGCCCTCGGCGCTGCAGCACTCGCAGGAATCGATGCACAATCTGGCATGGTAGGCATAAAGTGCAGTTGGGATAATCAACATTGTCTGTGGGTCGAATACGACCGACCATGGGCTACACAACGCTGCCGCTCGCAAGGTATGTTTGCAGAGAGCAGAGACACCGGAGGGCATCTCGAACAAATGCAGCCAAATAGCAACAATGCATGACGTGATGCGGATGGATGCGGCAGCATGATGTGGTACGACCCAAAAAAAAACAACGATACAATGGTTGAGACCGATCTTACCGGATGAGGTTCTTCGCCTCCTCCTTCAGGCAGGCCTTGCCTTCCTCCTGTACCGAGAGGCGGGTTGCAGCAGTTGTCGACGAGCATGTGTTCGAAAGCAGCGGCAACACCCGCAGCACCAGCACGAAGGCAATTGGGTGCGGAATTGGAGGGGGGAGTACGTGAGGGGAGGCGGTTCGAGGAGTAATGGGCCAACGTGTGATAAGACGTTGGTTGGACGGGGGGGTACGCCAGATTTCTTCCATGATCGGATCGTCGGCTCCGCCAAAGTATGCTAAAAAGAGCCTTTCTGCCTACATCCACATCCACCAGCAGTCGTGTTTCCGTCACAGAATCAAAGTTGTGTTTCGGCGTTTCTCACGCATCCCGCGGTACACAGGGCACAGACCCAACGCTGCGACAAACGCGACAACACAAAAACACCTACAACTGCCGTGTCGTGAGCCGCGGTGTCGAGCATAGGGCGTGCCAGCGACGGCGACCACCCGCGGCGCGAGAACATTCCCCCGTTTTTCTCTTTTCGTTCTGCGGTGCGTCGTGTTGTCTGTGTGTTAACTCGTCACCACACGCCACCCACCAAACCAGCTCACGTCGTTGGCGGTCTTGACCGCGTAGCGCTTCCCCGTGGTCGGGTCCACGGCCTGGTGCACGGTGCCGTGCCCACCAGTCCCGAGCTCGTCGCTCATCCGGAGCAACCCGCGCTCGGGATCCAACGCGCGCTGGGCGAAGACGGCCTTGGCGCAGGCGTTTTCCAGCCGACGTCGGACGAACGCGGTTCCGAGGCCTTCGTCCACTGGCGGTACGGCCGCCCCGCCCTGTTCGGTACCCATCCCTCCCCCCTCGGCGGCGGTGGCGGCGGCGGCGGCAGGGGGGGCGGCCTGTCGGGGAAGCAAAAAAATGAAAGAAAAAAAAGAACAAAGGGTTAGCATAATACGTTCAGTGAAACCAAAAGCCAACAACACCCGGGGACGTGTCGCTCGCGTGGTGTATGGTGTATGTGTGTGCCACGGCTTTGTTGGCATTGCTGGGGGTCGACAAATCGCCGAAAGCATGTCTGTCCCCTCTGAAACGGTGTGGATGTGCCAAGTCTCTCGTGCGGAATGCTAGACAGTGAAAAACGCGTGCAAATGACCACGCTAAACGGCAAACCAACGTCCACTTACAGGTACAGTGCGTGGTGTTGCGGGCGCTGTGCACACAAACTTGTGGTATTTTTTCTCACCAAATGCCTTGCGTTTCGCCTTTTTGCAAGAGCCTAACCTTACGGACGTTCGTCGGCGCGAGTCCTATGCCCCGAAATCGGTTTGTCACGCGGTGCACACGAGCTGCTCTATGCGTTTCAACCCGTTTCGACGGGGTACTGAATGTATTCCATAGTCCATTGTGTCTCCGGTCTTCATCCTGTCCCCCGTCGCAACAGGGCACGAAACCGTAATATAATAGATAGTGATCGATACCTATTGTGCCGCCGCCAAGAACGATATACCCCGACTTACCGCTAGGCTCTGTAGCAGTGCTGCTGCAGCAGAAGAGCTTGCCCTCTCCGCGGCCTGAGCGCGAAGAACAACATTCTCCGATTCGAGCTCATGGAGAGAAGCCTGGCGTTGGAACAATCGAAAGAGGGTGGCTTCAGTAGAAGTGCGCGGCAATGCAATCGGTAGTGATTCTTTCGTGCGGACTGCGCAGTAAGGAAACGATGCGTGTACTCGTACGCCATGCAGCGTGCCCGTGATTCGATATATAGGATCCTGTCAGTCGTGTGCGGCAATGTTCCTAGTAAATCGGTGTCCGAGAGAGACCGATGTAGAACACGTCAACCTTGCAGCGCACGGAGACATGCCAACTCTTAATCGTAGCCCACACGTTGAGTCCGACCCGGGAATGTTGACGACGCCCGTCAAGGGCGCTTGGAAGTTGTAGTGTACTCGAGCACAGTATACTCTATCGCGACACTGTACAGGAACGGTGCATCGTGCATTTGTGTTTACTAAAAATTAAGTACATATATTATGACTTAGCAGACCACGCGCTGGCTCGAGGGGGGGGGTCCGGGGG